TGAATTTTGTTTGCCTTTCATTGTATATTTTTCTTTTGTATCATTTTATGTTCCATTGAACATCTTCTAGTTAAGGTGGTCTGCACATACTATTTGTATCTAGATCTCCCGTGCTCTTGGTCAAATAAATTATTTTTCAATTCAATTCAATTCAATTCATATTCATATATATTATATATATATATATATATATATATATATAATAAAATATGCGTATAGATTTCAACTATAATATATATGCATGTCATACGCACTTGAGTAGGTATACATTAGAGTTGCAACAATGATTAAAAATATGTATGCCGTTTGTGTTGTATGACTGCAATTGACAATAACAACCAACCGGTTCTTAAATTATTTTAAAGTAATAATTTTACGTAATTGCTCGTATAATTATTTATTTATTCACTTATATCAACCTGAACAACGTCTAAAAAGATTTCAAAGATGGAAGAAACTAAAGAAGATGCCCTGATTCGCATTCGCTTCCTGGCAAGCATTACACAAAATTCCGCTCCTCCCCACTGCCATCCAATCACCATCCTCCTCATCACTCTCTCCATCGGAATCATTTTCGTCGGCATGACGATGACCATCGTGGCGCACTGGCCTGGCAGTGTTTCTGTCGGCTTTGACCCCCTCAGCATTCCAGGACCCATCATTCTGGCCCTCGGAGGAGCTCTCCTCATCTGCACCATCCTCCTTATCTGGTACTTCAACACCAAGGAAAAAGATCGGAAAAAAAAGAAGCTGCTCAATTTCGCACTGCAAAAATCGTGAGTTAATTTTTAAATTATATTTCTTAACAAACAATTTTCCATTGTTCAAACAAACGGTAATCAATTGGAACTTACATCAACAACAACAACGTGCAAGAGATAAGAAATGAAAGATATAAAAGGTAAAGTAAGTTGCATTTGCCTCAACCGTTGTAAAAATTTCCCCTGTTACTTGTAGATTATAAGCACATTTGTGTAAGAATAAATAACTATTAACAACAATGAATGGATAATCTTTTGAAACAAACGTTGAAATATTTCAAAATTTACACGACAACTATTAACCCAGCAACACAATTAACACAACAGCACAATTAACACAACAACACAATAAACTCAACAACACGATTAACTCAACAACACAACTAGATTTAAAAAAGTATAAAACTAATTTGACATTTTTTAAACACTTGAAGCCCAAAGAGCCAATAACAACAACGCCGACAAACTGTTTCATTTCTAGGATTCAAATTAAATATGTTACAAAATTAAAAGCGTTGTGATTTTATGATAGTTAATATAATTTTTTGAATGTTTTTGTTGTTTTAATAGTCACTATTTTTATTGATATATACTTTCACTCTTATTGATATTTTTTTATTATTAATAATGATTATAATGTAATAATCTTTCCAACTCTGAATTTCCTACTTCTTATAAGAATTCTATTGTTATTCCTATTCTTAAAAACTAATCCCTAGATCCTACCTCTTTATCTAATTATAGACCTGTAACTAATATTACTTTCATCTCTAAAATAATAGAAAAAGTTGTTTTTAATCAACTGTCATCCTATTTAGACTTTAACTCTTTGCTGCCTGTATCTCAATCTGGTTTCAGACCTGCTCACAGTACTGAAACTTCTTTACTTAAAATACACAATGATATCCTTCTCTCTAGTGACAATAGTAATCTTACTCTTGGCCCTCTTCTATTTATACTCTATACTTCTGAACTACCTCGTATTATTAATAACTTTTCTTTCTCTAGTCAACTATATGCTGATGATTCTTACATTTATACTTCTTTTCCTCCATCTAATCTCAATAGTGTTCTTCATAATTTATCTCTATGTCTTTCTTCAATTATCGCTTGGTCTGACTCTATATGTCTTAAACTTAATCCTTCTAAGTTTGAATTAATTTGTTTTAATAAATCTAAACACTCCATTACTATCCCTCCTATTATCTTACCTGATTCTAAAACTCTTGATGTCTCTCATAAGTTTCGTAGTCTAAGTTTTATCTTTGATTCTACTATGTCTCTCTCTTCTCAGATTAATATTGTTGGTAGAAGCTCTTACTTTCATCTACGTAGAATAAAAAAACTTTTGCCTTTTCTTGATGATCCTACTCTTCTCCTTCTTGTTACTTTGTTAGTCTTATCTAGGATTGATTATTGTAACTCGCTCTACTATGGTCTTCCTGACTATATACTCTATCCTTTAAGTAAAGCTTTTAACTCTGCTGCTCGTCTAGTTGCTCGTGCCCCTTTCTTTTCTCATATATCTCCATATCTTGTTCTCTTGCACTGGCTACCTATAAAATATAGAATAATTTTTAAAATTTGCACGTTCATGTATAAGTCTCAATCTAAATTATTTCCTAAGTATTTATCAGATATATTAATTGAACCTAAACGCCCCGGTTTATGATCGTCTTCTTCTTCTCGCTTTTTCTTAACTCGTGTTAAACACTCGTTTGTCAAATCTGCTTTTGCTTTTTCTGGTCCTTTTCTCTGGAACTCTCTACCTACTTCTCTGACTTCTTTTCCATCACTAGCGAAGTTCAGAGCGGATCTCAAGACCCATCTGTTTTCAAAATTCATTAAAGAGCGCTGTTGAACATCGCGGAAATAGCGCTTTATAGGCTAATTGATTGATTGATTGATAATAACAAAAACGGACGTATTATAAACAATGAACTATTTCACAGGAACCTGAACGTTTCGTCATCATCATCGAAACATCATCACCATTACCTCCACCGATCTCTAGAATTTGAACCGACGACACGGAAATCACAAATCGAGTCACAAGTAGGAGAAGATGAACCGGATGTTCGTCTGCTGCACGACTACGGGGATGATGGGGCTGACGGAGGGACTGCCACGACAACAAACGATGGAATGTATCGTTCACCCGCCTCCACAAATGAAACCTCATCTTCGCCACAAGATGACACCATCCCAGAACCAATAAGAAGCCATTCTAAAATTCCAAAAAAGAGTGGAAAAAAGAAAGAAAGAATAATTTCCGAAATGCCAGAAACAACTGAAGTTGGGGAATGGGAAGAGGATCCAGATAGCGGCGATGCTGCTCATCACAAAGTCTTCAAAACAACAACAACAACAACAACAACAACAGTCAAACAGACTAAAAAGAAGAAAATTAACACAAACTATTCTAGAGACAACGTGCTGGCCAACTTCGAAAGTAAGCAATCGCAGGAAGTCGGAGGGACCGGGCAGCGACCAGTGGATGATGTTGAACGTTCCGTCAGGGTTCAAGTGAAGGTTCCTCCTGGAACCAACGTCAACATCCGCAACCTTTAATCAACATTTATTGTTAAACTATTTTCAAGTTAATTAATGAGCGCGGATTCCGGTACAGGGTTTTTCAAATTTTTTAAAGCATTAAATTATGAAGTCAGAATGAAGACGAGAAACAAACCAGGGAATATACAAATAAAAGAACTATTTCATTAATAAATTATATTATTCATATATGTGTATATCGGTGAATGTATTTATTCATAAGATATTTATCTGCCAGTGACTGCATGTGTGCCACTTTACTTGTTTGTGCGTGCGTGCGTCTATTTGTTTGTCAAAGCATCAATCAGTGTTGTCAAAGTGTTGAAATTGCATTTTGAAAAATTGATTTTATAAGGAATATTTTAATTTATTTGTATTGAAATCATCCCTATTAAACTATTAAAACTAAAGGCCATTATCTAAACTTTCAATTAATTTTTCTCCCCCCCACCTCACCTGTGTTCCAACAACAATTTAAATTAAATTTTCTCAAAATGTAACAATTATTAAAAAAAGAAAAACATATAAACAAAACATATATCATAGGATACTTAGATTCAACACAGTGTTAGAGCGGAAAAAAGAAGACGAGGCTTATTCAAAGTGCTACAATTATTTCAAAGCAAACTACGACAAGGTCAGAAATAAAATCATAGAGATGAACTTGGCAGAGCGATTGAAAGATTTGGGAATGCAAAATAAATGGAAAACTTTTGTGTCCTGTATGAATAAAGTTGTTGAAGAAACTATACCGACTATCCGGAGAAGCAACAAAAAGCTACTGTAGATAAATAAAAATGTACAGAAAACAAGAAGATCAAAATTTAAAGCATGGAAGAAGATGCAGGAGTTAAGACAGAGATATCTCAGAAATGCTAAAGATATCTCAAAATGTGAGTTAGAAGCAGCAAGGGATAAATACACCAGAAAGAGAAATCTAGCAAAGGCAACAAACAGGAAAGCAATAAAGGAATATGAAGAAAAGCTAAGTGAGGACATAAGTAAAGACAGTAAAAGCTTTTTCAGTTACATGAGAAGCAAACAAAATAGGAAAGATAAAGTGGGGCCTCTGAAGACTGATCATGGCAACATTGTAACGGAAGAAAAAGAAATGGCTGAGATGCTCAATAACTACTTTGAATCGGTGCTGAGAAAAGAAAATACAAATAACATAAAGGAGCCAAAAAAATTGCTTGGGGGAAGCCAAGAAAGGATGCTTACAAGTGTTTACATAACAGAAGAGATGGTTGTCGAAATACTAGGCAGTCTCAAAGAGAATAAAACTCCAGGAATAGATGAGCTGCACCCAACATTTTTAAAGGAAATAAGACATGAAGTAGGAGCCACACTGTGCGAAATATTTAATGACTCTTTAAGATCAGGAGATATACCAAGGGATTAGAGGGACGCTATCGTCACGCCATTGTTCAAAAAAAGACGTAGAAGCGAAACTAGCAACTACAGACCAGTTAGTTTAACTTGCATTATATGTAAAGTATTAGAAAAAATTATCAAGAGGAATATAGTCGAGCACTTAAATTCTAATTGCATAATCAATGACAGCCAACATGGTTTTATGAAAGGACGATCCTGTCTATCTAACCTATTGGATTTTTTTGAAGATGTTTATGCTAACCTAGACCAGGATAACTCGGTAGACGTAATATATTTAGATTTTGCAAAAGCATTCGACAAGGTGCCACATAAAAGGTTATCCAAAAAGTTACAGGCATGTGAGGTAGAAGGAAACCTGCTACAATGGATAAAAAATTGGCTGAAAGATAGGAGGAATAAACTCGAGATGGATAGACGTAACAAGTGGCGTGCCTCAGGGATCGGTATTAGGACCGCTATTATTTGTGATATACATTAACGACATCGACGAAGGAATAGTCTCCAAGATTTCAAAGTTTGCAGATGATACCAAATTATGTGAGAAAGTCAACCACGATGAAGATGCAGAAATATTGCAAAAAGACCTAACAAGACTGTACCAATGGTCCAAGGACTGGCAAATGCTTTTCAACGTTGACAAATGTGCAGTCATGCACTTATGGAGGAAGAACGCTAGATAGGAATATAAAATTGGTGAAAGAGAACTACGATCGACAGAGGAAGAAAAGGATCTAGGAATCATTGTTCATCAAAGCACAAAACCGTCAAGACAATGTACAGCTGCAGCGGCCAGAGCCAATACGATCTTGGAATTTATAAGAAGAACAATGGTCAGCAGAGAGAAGCATATTAACTGAAACTGTACAAAACCCTGGTAGACCTCATCTGGAGTACTGTGTTCAAGCATGGAGCCCATATATGCAGAAAGATAAGGAAGTTTTGGAAAAAGTACAGCGTAGAGACACAAGAATGATTAGAGGAATCGGAAAAATGAAATACGATGAGAGATTGAAAAAATGCGACTTGACATCATTGGAAAAAAGAAGATGTAGAGGAGATCTAATCCAAACATATAAATTGATCACGAATAGGGAAACAACACCATACTCGAGATTTTTCAGGCTAGTAAACAGTGATAAACTACGAGGACACAGATTTAAGATTTTCAAAAACTCGGATGGAAAAATAAAGAGCAGATTCTTCAGCAGTAGATTGGTCAACGCCTGGAACGAGCTAAGCGATGATGCAGTCTCTGCAAATTCACTCAACAGCTTCAAAGCCAAACTCGGACAGATAGGATATTAGGAGATCTAATTAGTATTGATTCTTACACAGACCATAGTTTTCTGAACCACTTTAAACCCCGTTAATAATAATAATAATTATTATTTAGTGTGACGTGAGTTTTAGCGATATAGAGTTATTTGGTTAATAAACAAACCTGTCCATTTTTCGTGCGAGTGTGCACCTGAAAATGTGCACCTACCTACGCGTGTATTGGAAAATCGCCATAAATTTAATTTCTGAAATGCGATGGCAGGGGTGGCTGACTTTTGAACGCTCACGTCCCCGAAATGCAGGTCAACAGGATAATAGGCATCTCCAATAACTGGCCCCTTTCAAACAAAATTTTTCAGCTTTGTAGGTTAGGTTGTAAATCGAAAAAACTGGTTAACATTGAGGCGGAGAAAAAAATGAAACCACAATGAATCACACACACAGAGAGAGAGAGAGAGAGAGAGAGACACCACATACATGTACACTTCTCGAACACATTTACATACGTAAGTACTTATGCATCAATCAGTAATAAACCATGAATTTAAAATAAGATTATTGAAGCAACGATAAGGATATAAATAAACTAATTAATTAAACAAAACTTTGAATAAATATAAAATAAACCTTTTTATCTAACACATGAGCCAGTCAACACCGATGTATTGAAATAATCCCAAAACAAACACCCATGAATTAACACGTTCTCAACCACGTTGCGTTCACGTTTTTGTTTAACTGGCTATAATTAATTAATTAATTAATTAATTGGTTGATTCATATCCTTGTCATCATTTCAAACGCAAAAACTCTCAAATGATTAAATTTAAACTTCAGACATACACACAGAGCAAACACACAACAAACCTATGACACAAACATATTAACATACAACAACCTAACAAAACACAGGATCCCTCATTAAACGCTCGCACCGAACGGCCATACATTATTTTCATACACGAAAACGCATTAAAACAGTCAATTAGCACGCCCATATGTCATCACAGCGTCATTTGCACATAGCTTAAATCCCTTCAAAGACAGATGTGTTTGACCATCCATGGCCAAATCATTCCATAATTTTGGACCCCTTATTATCCAGCTACGTTGGTAGGTGGAAGTTTTAAATTTTTTTAACAACAATTGACCACGTTGCCTGGTAGTTGTCCGAACCCTATCAAAAAAATTTAACTGCTCATAATCTTTATTAATAAATATTTTATAAACAAATACCAGCAGAATAAAATTATGTAATTGTTCTATTCTAAGAATTTGATGGTTACGAAACACGTCATCATTATGATCGCGAAAGTTCAAAAAAAATATTATTCGCATAAAACGTTTTTGCATCACTAAAACTTTATTGATCCAATATTTACTGGCGGATCTCCAAAATACATTTCCATATAACAAATGTGGATAAAAAAAAGAATAATAAAGTAAGATCATTGACTTGACATTCAACCTGTCTCTCACTCTAAACAGAAACCCAACCGCACGGTACAGCCTGTGGACGATCATGTCGATGTGCTCATTCCATTTCAGATCACTTTGTATAACAATTCCCAAAAATTTTACCGAATGAACCCTTGGAAGAGATATGCCCTGGATAATCAGCTCCAAGCCACTCAGGGGCACTTTGTTCGTTTTTTATCGAGGGATCAAAGATGACATAACAAGACTTGGATATGTTCACTGTCAGCCGATTGGACAAAAACCAATCATAAATCAAACTAAGCTGGCTATTCATCTCCGTGACAAAAAAATAATAAAAAAAATTCTCTTACCTGACAAAAAAATACTGGTATCGTCAGCAAATAACATCACAGTGCATCTATCCAGATATATCTGTCGCCTCTGATACGTTGATCATCAACATGGAATGGTCCACGATGACCTCACTCTCATCAGATCATCTACCCATTCACATCAGCTTACAAACAACAATTCAACATATTAACCCCAAAAATCAGATTCATAAATTTCGCGAAAGCTAACTGGGATGGTTTCACGAAAGATTCACGAAAGCCGGATTTTCCAATCAAGTCTTCCCTCCCAACCTATCAGCGGCCGAGAAATCGTTTCGTCGTATTCTACAGGACGCAAGTGACCACAACATACCTTCCGGTAGACGAATTTCATATACTCCAGGTCTATCGAAAAAAATCACCGACCTAATGAAAAGACGGGATGACATCAGAGCTACAGATCCAACATCTAAGGACATAGCAACCACATCAACAATAATTCAACACAAAATCAACAAATTAAAACAATCGCGTTGGAAGGAGTTACTGGGCACTTTCAACAGAATAACCAACACCAAGCGCCTCTGGAGCACCATAAAAGCTCTTAGCGGCAAACCAACTCAATACCCCAACATCGCTATTAATTTCAACAACAGGTCACTAACCAACAACCTGCAAATAGCCAACTCATTCAATAAAATTTTTACATCAGCTACGAAACATTCATCTAACAAACTAAATAGAATCACCAACAAAGCTGTTAAGAAATTTCCGCTTGACGACTATCCTACACTAACCCCCAATCAGGTTACAGAAGCTATTAAAACTTCTAAACCGTCCAAGGCAACAGGACCAAACAACCTGACAATATTTCACCTAAAACACCTCGGCCCAAAGGGAATTTTTTTTCTAACAAATCACTACGAACCTGTAGGATTACTGAAATTTATAAGAAATC